CTTGCTCACATGTCTAGCATGCTCCTGTGCACATAATAGAGGCTGAATAAGTATTTGCAAAATTGTAACTGAACGCAGGTTTGGCTGCCTGCTTCGATGAAAGCTAAACTCATGAGACAGGATTAGGCATTGTTTTTTGCTTGTGGGTGATCATGCATGCATTTGACTTTCAGGTTAGATTGTGGGTAGAGGGACAGGAGTGGACTCAAAGGATATAAAGTGAAGGAGGGAAAAAGGTCAGATGGCTAAGTGAAAGAGCAAGCCCATGCTGTTGAACCCCAAATTCTAGTTCTCACTCTGCCACTAACTTGTTTGATCTTAGGCAAGTCACTTTACCTCTCTGAGCCTCAGTTTGTCTGTAATAATACTTTTGACACTTTGCACTTTACAAAAGGTCAACTGAGCTCATAACTGGGGTGCTACTTTGGACAAAGGAATTTAGGGTATTGTCTTAATAGGCAGAAAGGTGACTCAGATCACCAAGCCAGGTAGATCAGCTTTCTGCTTTAAGATTCAAACATGACTTGGATGAAAAGCAGGAAGGCTGAGTTCCTAGAATCATAGAATATTAGAGCTAGCAGGTATCTTAGAAACCGTTCTAGTCCAACCCCTTCATTTTATGTGAGTACCCTGAAACACAGAGAGATTATTTTCTCCCAAGGTCTCACTGAATGGAGCCTGGATTCCCGGTTCCCTTTTCATTGTGTGCTGCAAGGCTCTACTTAAAAGGCAAAGCTTATTTGCTCTTGTTACTGTTTGGAGACAAGAAGCTTCTGGCCTGTGTCCCAGCAAGAAAATGATTAGGACATTGGTGTGAAGCTTTTTGAGTTTCTAAAATTTGACACACTGTTTCAGTTCAATTACCGCATGAAACTAAACTATAGGGGGACAACAATCTCCCAGTGTTTGTCTACTGCCTACTATCTTTGCTACTCTGCTAGGTGATGGGGTGGGGCGATGATTAAGACCCATCCCCTGTTGTCAAAGATCTGCGTGTGGGAGACAAGCCTAACAAGGAGAGAACAATGGAAGGCAGTATGTGATTCAGACTAAAATGAGTAGTGTAGAATAACTGCTATAGAAGTTCAGAGGAGGGAGATTGCTCTGGGAGCTGGGGATGGGGTTTAGGAGAGTGCAATTTCACTTGGGCTTTGAAGGATGGGTAGGATTATTTAAACAGAGGTGGGGGAGAATACTGAATTTGAGTGTGTATGCATGTGAAGATGCAAAACTGGGTAAAATAATGGGTAGCATTTATTGAGTACGTGCTATGCACCAGATACCACATAATACACTACATAATTCAACTCACTTAAATATGCATAATCCCAGGAATTGAATAATAGATAACTAATAACCGAAATTGAGGTTGAATAAATTGCAGCAAGTAAAATACACAAACTGAATTAGAATCTAGGTCCTAAAAACACTTGGCTATTCTACCTATGAAAAAAGAGGAATTTGTGGCTCAGGTGAGAAAGTTTGCCTGGCTACAGTCATTAAAGATGGTAATTTTGCAAACACAAGGACTCTCTAGGATAGATTCCTAACTGAAGTTCAGCGTGGAAATTGGAGAGATTAGTGAAGCCATTTATTGAGTCGCTCTAGCCCGTTAACTTAAAATAAAAGGCCAAAGTGAGAGGCAACAAGCATTTATTTGAGATCCAAAAGAATAGCTATTCGGGAAGCATTGATTCTTGCAGAAACCCAAATAGCATTCAGAATAGGATGTGAAGGAGAGGGACATTTATGAGAAAGGGAAGGGGAATAATTACAGAAATAGAAGGAAGGCATTTCTATAGGTGCAGATAAGCTAACATAGTGATGCTGATTATAAAGAATGTCTTTAACGTCATCAAAAACATACTAGAGTTAATAAATGAATTTGGCAAAGTAGCAGGATACAAAATTAACATCAAGAAACTGATGGCATTCTTATACACCAATAATGAACTCACAGAAAGAGAAACTAATAAAAAACAATTTCATTTACCATTGCAGCAAAAAACTAAGATATCTAGGAATAAACTTAATCAAGGAAGTAAAGGGCCTGTTCTCAGAAAACTACAGGATATTGAAAAAAAGAAATAGAAGAAGATATAAAAAAGTGGAAGCATAAACCGTGTTCGTGGATTGGAAGAATTAACATCATTAAAATGTTCATACTACCCAAAGCAATCTATAGATTTAATGCAATCCCCATCAAAATACCAACGACATATTTCACAGAACTAGATACTCCAAAAGTTTATACGGAACCAAAAACGACCCTGAATAGCCACAGCAATCTTGAAAAAGAAGGACAAAGTAGGACTGATCACAATATCGGATATCAGGTTATACTAAAAAGCCAGTGTAATAAAAACAGCATGATACTGGCACAAGAACAGGCATACAGATCAATGGAACAGAACAGAGAACCCAGAAATTGACCCAAGATATTATGCTCAACTAATATTTGACAAAGATGGCAAGAGCATACAATGGAGTAAGGATAGCCTCTTCAATAAATGGTGATGGGAAAATTGGACAGCTACATGCAAAAAAATGAAATTAGACCATCAAGTTGCACTATACACATGAAAAAACTCAAAATGGATAAAAGACCTAAATGTGACACGTGAATCCATAAAAATTCTAGAAGGAAGTGTAGGCAACAAAATTTCAGACATCACACGCAGCAGAATTTTCACTGATACAATGTCTACGGCAAGGGAAACAAAGAAAAAAAAAATAAACAGGACTACATCAAACTAAAAAGCTTCTGTACAGCAAAAGAAACAAACATCAACATGGAAAGGGAGCCCACTATATAGGAGAACATAACTGCCAACAATCCATCAGATAAGGGGCTAATTTCCAAAATACACAGAGTACTAATATAAGTCAACAAAAGGAAGACAAATAATCCGATCAAGAAATGGGCAGAGGAGCTAAACAGACACGGCTCCAAACAGGACATACAAATGACCAAGAGACATGAAAAAATGCTCAGTGTCACAAATCATCAGAGAGATGCAAATTAAAATGACTATGATATATCACTGCACACCTGCCAGAATGGCTGCCATCAACAAATCACCAAACATTAAGTGATGGTGAGGGTGTGGAGAAAAGGGGACTAGTACACTGCTGGTGGGAATGCAGCCTTGTGCAGCCACTAAGGAAAACTATATGGTTTCTCCATTTAGCCCGGGCCGGCAGTTCAATTGGTTAGAGAGTTGTCACATACATCAAGGTTGTAGGTTCAATCTCCTGTCAGGGCACATACAACAATTAGCCAGTGAATGCATAAATAAGTAGAACAACAAACTGACGATTCTCTCTCTCTCTCAAAGCAATAAATAAAAATTAAAAAAAGAAAGTGGCTTCATTTATGTTAATTTTCACATGTCATTCTTACTTCCTTGAATATAGGAACTTGAGGTCTCGGGATGCTGCATGTCATTGACAGGCACTCCAGTTTTAACCTCAATGTTCCTGGTTATGTTGCAGAAGATTTAACAAAACACCTAAGGAGAAAGAATGAATGAGTCTCTGAATCAATTCTTGTTTGTGGCTGCTCTTTATTAATTAGTACTTGAAGAGCATCCAACCTATGGTATATGCTGTACAAAGGTTTGGAATTAGACAAGGCTACCTGGTTCTGAGGCTATAATTTGTCTGGAAAACCAGACTTGGAAAGGATGTGAGGACAATGGCCTGGTGATACGGTAGATTCTATTTTATATTTTGAGTCTGGCTTACAGCCAACACTCAAAAGTGTTTCTTAGGCAAGGTGCCTGTGTTTTTCTGGATATTTTCCTAACTCATGTGAGTCTTCAATAAATAGTAAAGCAACATGAGGTAGATTTTAAGAAGGTTCTTTTCCCGTTTTTTTGGTTTTTTTTTTGTGTTTTTTTTTTGTCCCAAGAAAAGCATACCACAGTCTATGGGTAGAAAGGAGCAAGGAAGAGGACCATGTTTCAATCAGCTGTCCTTATTCAATTCATGGGCCCCTCCACACCTATACTGTCCTGGCTAGCCTTTCAGGGTCAGGATTCTTTGCCAAGTGCAGTTTGGGAAGCAGCTGCTATCTTGCAAGTAGAAAGGAGTGAAATAGGTCAGGGGAAGTTTCTTTTGGTCCACCAAGTCTCCGATTGAAGGCAAGGTAGGAGAAAGGGGTAAAGGAGGGCCTGGAGAAGAAGTGGCAGAGGTGGGCTGTGCTGCCTAAGGTAAAGAGGGGAAAATATCAGATCCAAGCAGGAGGGGGAAGAGCAGGGAATAGAAGGACTAGAAGCTTCTGTCCTAGGCACTGAAGTGTGAAGAGTGGGGCTGTGGCTAGAACGGTGAGAGAAGCTGTCATCCTGGTCCTGCTCTAGTCTACTGTTCCAGGGCAAACGGAGGAGGCTCCAGGAGAAGGCCAGACGCAGCCAACATCCTAAAGGAAAGCTGGTCCAGCTGCTCAGTACTAGACTTCAGAGCCCTGAGAACTTAGCGAGGGCCGGCTAAGTGCCTGGTGTACATTGAAGTGCCCCGAAGAGGCGATTTGCAGGATGTGGAGTCAGTTAAAAGTCTTCACAGGAGTCACCTTCAGCACACGTTGGGGAAGGAAGGTGGATGTACCCGCGTGCAGGCTCCAAGAGAGCAGAATGCGAGGCAGGCCAGGAAGGAGGAGAAAGAGGCGGAGATTGAACCCTGAGGAAGGAGAGGGAAGAGCCGACCAGAGGCAGGGTGGGAGGTGTGACTGGGGGCGGCGGTGGAGGGAGAGAGGGGGCCCGGAGAGGGAAGGAGGCGAGGCGGGGTAGCCGTGGCTTGCGAGCGTGGGGGATGGGGGCGGGCGCGAGGCTGAGACGGACCGGAGGAGGCAGCGGCCGCGAGGGGGAGGAGAGAGGGAGGGGAAGAAGGAGGAAGAGAGCGGCGGTAGCAGGGGGAGGAAGACGGGAGGTGGAGCCGTGCGCGGCGGCGGCGGCTGCGGCCGCCGGGGGAGCCGAGCGCCGGGGCGCGGGGAGCGCGGGAGCCGGGAGGTGGCCCGAGCCGGGGCCGCGGGCCGAGCTGCCGGTGAGTGGAGCCCCAAGGGGCGCGGCGGCCGGTTTCTGGGGCCTGGCGGGAGGCGCGGGAAGATGCGGCGCCTGGTCGGAGGCAGGGGGCCAGCTACAGCCCAGCCCCTGGCCGGCCCGGCCTCCTTCCCTCCCTCGCTCCCTCCCTCGCTCCCTGCCGGCTTCCTCCCGCCGCAGCCCGCGCGAAGGGGGCCGGTCCCGGGCGGGCCGCGGGCTGGGGGAGGTGCTGCCCGGAGGGCGGGAGCCGGGGGTGGAGCTGGGCTCGGGGCTGTACCCGGGGCGGGCGGCTGGACCCGGACGGCTCTAAATTGGCCGGAGGGACCCGACGGCGGTGAAGTTGCTAGCCGGGGGCAGAGAAGGCCACGCGGTTGCCGGAGTAAGCGATCCCCTGTGGCGAGTGTGTGAAAGGAGGAGTCCGGGCGCCCCTGCTATCCCCGTCGCCCTCCCCGCCTTCCCGGCCCGGCTAGCCCCTCTCCTGGCCTCCGCGTGTTCCCCAGCGCTCACCCCTGTTACCCCTGGTTCGCTCCCGCGGCACTGCCGGGTCCCCTCGGCCCTGAACCTCTCGGCCTCCGGTTTCCCCTGACCCCTGCTTGCTTCACCACTGCCCTGGTTCCCCTTTTCTCCCTTGCTAGTTACCCTTCCCCGCTTCGTAATTCCCGATGCAATTGCCTCTTTGAGACCATTTTTTTTTTTTCCTCTCCTTCCTTTTAGATTGGCCAACGGCTCCTTTCAACCCTGCCTCGTTGGTGGCCACTGGAGAAGCGCGGGGGGCTCCCCAGACAGCCGTGGGGACAAGTTAGAGCCAGCACTTTACCCTGGGCCTCGCGTTTAGCTTCCCCTCCCCTGCTCTCGGTGCCCCCGTGTCTGGGGGTGGGGAGTGCGGGTGTGGGGGTGTGCCCCCCTTAAATGTCCCACCACTTGGGCAACTCTCTGGGCTTGTGTTCCATCTCACTCTTGCTTCCTGCACGGTGGTTGAGGGAAACCACTTTGCATCATGTCCCGGTATAGCTACCAAAGTCTTCTGGACTGGCTCTATGGGGGCGTGGACCCCAGCTTTGCAGGCAATGGGGGCCCCGACTGTGCTGCCTTCCTCTCTTGGCAGCAGCGGCTGCTGGAAAGTGTGGTGGTCCTGACCCTGGCCCTGTTGGAGATCCTGGTGGCTCTACGGCACATCCTGAGGCAGACGAAGGAGAACGGTAGGGGTGGCCGTGGCCACCAGCCAGAGCAGGTGACCCAGCGGCCAGAGGAAGGCAAGGAGAGCCTGAGCAAGAATCTGCTCTTAGTAGCCCTGTGCCTGACCTTCGGGGTGGAGGTGGGCTTTAAGTTCGCCACCAAGACCGTCATCTACCTGCTCAACCCTTGTCACCTGGTCACCATGATGCATGTGAGTTTGTTGAATTTTTCCTGGGCAGCCTTAGTGATAAGAGTCATTTGTGTGCTCAGGACACTCTGCAGTGTACAGCACCTTATCCCTGCGGGAACTGGGGCCCTCAAACATGATTTTCCAAAGATCTGCTGTTTTTGTGCATATCTCAGATTTGGCTTTCTTTCACCTTTGCACAGTGCATCGGCCTCACAGGGGAGGGGAGGAACATAGTGTCAGAGAGCCTCAGGCTGGCTGCCTGTCCCCTTCCCAGCCCCGCTGGGGCCTTTCACAAGCAGGAAGTATAGCCTCAGCCAGGTGCCCTTTCTGAATCACATCTGGAGACCATGGCCCAGCCCCCATGCCTTCTGTCACAATTAATCCCCAGAGGCCTGGTGACATTCTTTCTGGGAGGTGGTCACATAAAGTTTCTTGTCTCTACCACAGTACTTTGGGAAAATACATTTACGGGTCTCCCTTAATTATTCTTTTATTTTGGAGTTTATGCTCATAGGGTGAGGTCTGCCTTTGAATTCCGAGGGTTTGGAGCAGCACCAAGCTCCTACTAAGTGTACTCTGAAAGAGGTCCCACTTTGTGAACTTTGGGCTGGTGATTTCTATCCATGGTGAGGGTATTTATTTATTTATTTTGCAAACCTCCCAGTCTTATAATTCTTATTCTATTTCCTGTGGTCATGGTCCAGGGACCTCAGAGAGCTGATTTCTTTACCTTCCATTAGCCGTAGTAAGAAAAACAAATGGGATTAAAAAGGAAAGAGCCAGATACATAAAAAATAATCTGGTTGAGACCAAGCATGAGACTGTCTTTCTGTACTTTGTATGAAGAGATGTTCTAAAACTATAAAATCATGGAGGAGAAGCAAGAGGAGAAAGGGAAACCAATCTTTTTTAAATTTCAGGCTGTGGAAAACCTGGTGTGTTTTATTCAGGGACAGTTTTGAAACATGTCATTAGAATCTTTATTGCTTTTGTATTTGTAGGTTTTTCTCAGGAGACTGGTGACAACCCTGTATGGGGCAGGAGGTTAAGATTATTATCTCCATTTCACAGGCCTGTGGGGTGGGGAGGGGTGGGGGCTAGGGAAATAAGGAGATCACTTGCCTATAGCCAAAGATGAATTATCATCTCTGGGTTGGAAAGCTAACCCACTGTCGTTGGGGTTGCAAGCTGTCAATGGAATAGCAGGGCAGTCTCTGGAGAGGCTGAGGCTGATCAGCATGGCAATGCCTACTTGTGGCTCGTATGCTTGTTACCTCTGTGTTCTAGGAGCTCCTTTGATTGCAGGTTCCTGACCTCAGTTTCCCACTCTGTAAAATGTCATAAATGGCCTCAAGCCCTTCCCATTTTGTAGATGTGGCAAGAAGGTGCAGATAGCTTTGGGATAAAGAGGCTGTTATTGATTGGGTGGCTCTCATCATTGAGCAGGGCTGGAGGGGGTAACATTTTTTAAAAGAGCAGGCTTTTTTGGAAATGATGCCGTTCACAGGAAGCCCGAGGCTCTCCCAGCTAGACCTTCTGTGTACATTTGAGCCAGTCCTCTTTTTTTTTTTCCTTAAATGAATGGCCTTTTTGTTAATGAGAGGAAACAACACATCTCAGCCACTGCTGCGTGAGGCTCTTGGGACAGGAGTGCTTTTTTTGGATGGCAGGTGGTGAGGGTCAGAGGGTACCTCTTCCACAAAGGGGTCTTGAGGCCTCTGGCAGCCACATATCAAGAAGGTCAACAAAGAACTAAATTCAGCCTGACTGGGGCTGCTGCTGGTGTGAAGACATCAAACCTGGCAATGCCATCATTTTTAGTGGAAAGGTTTTTAGAGGCTTTTAGAAGACTCTGGAGACTTAGTTCTGGCATTAATTAGTTGTGTGGCCTGGCTGGTGTGGCTCAGTGGATTGAGCGTTGTCCCATGGACTGAGAAGTCCTGGTTCAATTCCCAGGCAGGGCACATGCCCGGGATTCAGGCTTGATCTCCAGTAGGTGCAAGAGGCGGCCAATCAAGGTTTCTCTCTCACATCAGTTTTTCTATCTCTCTCTCCCTTCCTCTCTCTCTCTCAAAAAAAAAAAATCAATGAAAACATATTTAAAAATTAGTTGTGTGACTTTGGGGAAAGTACTCTTTCTGGACCTCAGTTTGCCCATCTGCAAAATGAAACAACATTTCACTCCTAGCTGTCGACAGCCTGTGCTCTCTGATTCTTTTCTCAGAGCAGTGGCCGGGGATGCAACAGATAACTATTCTCAAAATGTTTTGGGCCTCTGTGGGTGGAAAAGGAAATTAATTTCTTCTTTGCTAAGGTAAGATAGACTTGTGCATCTTTTCATCCTTGATCATCTTTTGCTCCTACCTTTATCTCCCCAGTAAAGTCAACCTGACCAGGTCACCCTGGGGATATATCTAGGTGATGATGACACTTAGAGCTGGTTGCTGAAGAGAGATGGATGTTTGAGGGCATATGGACTGATTCCTGTCACCTGTGCATTTTCTGTTGTCCTGTGCTTAGCTCAAGCTCTGAACAGAGTCATGGTAAGGAATTCTTGACCCCATCCTGAATTAGACTCCTCTACCCTTTACTCCTAGGTCACTGCTTTGTGCCATGTAGATAGTAACCTCTGGCCTACTGGGGCACCTAGTCTTTGACAACTCCAATGTGCCATACTCTACCTATGGCTCTTCCTGGGAAGCATGATTGTGTGGATTTTAAACACTTGATGTGAGTCCCCAAAAAATGTCATAACAGATGGTTGGAAACAGTTTTCTGACTTGGTTGCAGCAATGACTAATGATAGTAAGTATAGTTGATATTACTTTACACTTATTTAGCACTTTACTGTTTATTTTAAGACACATTCACATATACTATTTTATTTAGGGTGTGATAGAACAGCTTGGACCTGGATAAAGAGGTTAAAATGCTTAACGTGACTGTGTATATTCCAAAGAGGAGAGGTTGAGTACAAAGAAGTGCTTTGGCAAGTGAATTAGCTGAATTGGGCTATATTAAGGCAGTAAATTCTATGGCATTCAGAGGTCCTGATTAGGGAAGGGAGATATTAGCGGAAATAAAAGGAAGAGCTTAGCAGAAACATTTCTGATGTGTGTCTCGCAACAATATGACTCAATTTTGGCTTTATAGAAAGGCCTTATTCCTCAGAGTCAGTGCAAGTTTGTCTGTTACAAGGATGGTATTGCTTCAGTCTAGGAAATAGAAGAATCGGAGGGAAGTTGGTTAGTTTCCCTATCTCCCATTTTGCAGTCTGGAAAATATTTATTTCCTAAAACTTGTTACACAGACTCTCCTCTTAGCCGTGTTGCCAGCTTTAGAAGCATAAGGAAGGGTAGTTTTTGTGCCTCAGTTCTGGTCTTGATTAATATTCCTGGTGTCAAGTTTCCTTTGGGTCTTGTCTGATTTCTCAAAGGCCCTGGGACTGTGGACTGATAGAGGTTTGTGTGATTGAAGAAACACCATCTCCCATCTAATCTCAAGCCAGAGATGTTTGAGGTTTCTCAAGATCAGCAAACAGCACCATTGTTAAACTCCTTGCTCAGTGGCATTTACCAATTATACCAATAAGTATTTCTTCAAGCATGGCTAGTCCCCTTGTGCCTATTATTTTGGCAGGTTTTGGTGACAGGTTTTTGAATTTACTGAGTGATTATGCTGTTTACCAATAACCACCCAACCAAGTTAGTGGCAGAGGTGGCTTAAGAACTGAGCTGCGGTACAGCCAGTGTGGCTCAGTGGTTGAGCATCGACCCATGCACCAAGAGGTCACTGGTTTGATTCTCGGTCAGGACACATGCCCAGGTTGTGGGTCAAATTCCTGTTGGGGGGCATGCAGGAGGCAGCCAGTCAATGTTCTCTGTCATTGATGTTTCTATCTCTCGCTCCCTCTCACTTCCTCTCTTTGTAAAAAAAATCAATAAAGAAAAAAAAAATTTATAAAAAGAAATGAGCTGCCACAGTTGGAAGTGGGGCTTTAGCAGAAAGAGATTCTGAGAGCTATTTAAATCCTAAAGTTTAAAATTTCTCAGCAGAAGGGTTAAAATGCCAGACAGCTAGACAAATTTTATCTGTAAAGACCAGTTGTCTTAAATTAGTGGGCTTTTGTTTCCTTTGCATACAGTTACATTATGTCTGCTTTAGAAACTTAACAAAAAGATCTCATTTTGAATGTCTTATCTAATTGTCCAATTCTTGCTGGTGACACGTGTCTGTGTCCACAACTCCTGATGGGGCACTGGACTTAGTGAGGCACAGTATATGCCATTTAATCCTCGATATTATATGTACATAAGGCAGGCTGTATCCAGGCTGGACATTTGGCAAATAATAATTGATGCTATCATCCCCATAGCCCCAAGCCACTGGTATTTAGCCAGTAATACTGAATGAGCCTTATTCTTTTTGAGTTGCCATTTCCTATTTGATTTTCTGTCTTTCTTTACAATGTATTAGAAGTCTGATTTCCACCAAATATGGCTTATCTGCTTTTGGTTCATCATTTAATTTTCTTACTTCTCTCCTTGCTGACAGTATAGAACGGCACATACTCAAAACAGTCCTGAGATTTTTGTGACACCTCTTTGAACTAGCTGAATATACGCCAGTGTGTTTCATTCGCTCTGTGATGGATTTGTTTTAAAGAAAACCAGATGAATTTGAGAATTAGGCTTTCTGTCCCCCTGGTTCTTGACTTCAGACCAGCCACACCTCCCCATCCCCATCTTTTGTCTGGAGTACTGACAACGGCTCCTGCTTGGAATTGACATCCGTGTGTAATGGGTACAATGAGGGATCCAACCATCTGCTGACAGCTTATCAGATGGACTGTCCTGTGTCATCAGTCTAGGGGGACACAAGGGGATGATGTTTACATGGGCCTCAGCTGTGAGGCATGACATTCCTTTTTAGTTTGTTTTATTTTCCCCCCATGGAAATTTGTAGATAATTTCCCCATCTTTCATTGTTATAGTCTTTTGGGGGTGTCCATTATAAAGAGG